CATTACAACTACAGAAAGCAACTATAAAAAGAGTATACAACTAGCCACTTGTACAACTTTAGTTATTGTCTAATTTAAGTAGTCAGCTCAAAGGTTTATACTAGCTGCTATATCTGGAACCTGCTTGTAAATTCTCTATTTAATCATTTTAGTTTCTATATTCACTATCTACCTCTGTTTACTAATGATCTTGACTAATGTTGGTGAAAATATGCCATGGCTACTAAGTCTTTAAAACAGTTCTTTGAAACCTTTGACCTTGTACTAAACCTTCTAGAATCTTCTGTATCATATTTTTATAGCTGACTCAGTATTATTATAGCTGAGACTAATACTGGTAGTCAGAACATATGGGCTGTGATCTGAGAAAAGGGACAAAATTCATATTTGGAAGATCACAAGATAAACAGTGATTTGTGTTTTGAACACAACAATGATTGACATGCATCTGACCTAATTCAGACATCAGAATAATAGGTTGTATAACCAACAAACTTATGAAAATTTCTGATAAGTGCTAAGAAAAGGGATGAAATTTACAAAAAGATGATTGGCTAGCACAGTCAAAACTCGAGATAACAAATTTTACATAATGAAATATTGGATTTAACCTTCTAATAGCTGAATATTTCAAATGCCAAAAGCTATGACTGATATATGGATAACAGGAATACAGAATTTATGTAATAAGAATTTGAATTATGCATGTGATATATATAAAATATTTGGTTTACTAATGATTAAAATTAAAAGTACAAATTTAATAATATTTACTGAGCCTCAAAAAAATTTATTTCAGAAAAAAGAAAATTGCAATTTATTAAATACTGCACTTAACTAAACAAGAACTGCAATTTTTTAAATACTGCACTCAACTAAACAAAATAAAAACAGTCAAAAATCATTAAATTCAAGCACTGTACTATTTAATTAAATTCTTCTTGGACTCATACTAAACATAGCAAAATTTTTTCTATTTGATTTTAAAATTGAATTTATTTATTTTATACTTAACATATTAATTTAATTTCTTCTATATAAAATGTCGTAAATACTTATTACAGTACTATCTGTACTAATAATTTAAAATGAATGCATGTGATACTAATGTACTATAAGTGAAGCACATAATTTACATGTCTCTGATAGATAATGAGATACTACTTTTAAATTTTTATTAATATGACTAACACCATAATAAAGCACATTTACTCTAAAATATGTTCACCACAATATAAGGAATTCCAGCTCTGCATCAAAATTGATTTACTAATGACATAGACCATCTTTATTCAATTTCTAAGGTTTAAAGTAAAAAAATAAAAGCTATGTTATGTAAAAAAAAATTTATAAAACCATAAAAAAAAATTTTTTTTATATTTGAGAATACTTTGCTAAATTTATTTGGCCTTGAGATGCGGTACAGATGGTAGTAGACAAAAGTCATCTTTTTTGTAGAATCACGAATATAATCACGGATTTGTTCATAAAAATACCATTGCCGCACTGGCATTACTTGTTTTGCTAAAAGAGAAGCAGGAAGGTTTTGTGAAGAAAATAAATCTATTTTATTTTGTTTTAGCAATGTGATTTCTACTTTTTCCTCACAAATCGCTGACTTTATTTCTACTTTCCTAAGTTTTTCAGATGAAATAATAAAATAGTGTTGTTTTAAAATTTGTGGAACATTTCCAAACAATTCATTTAAAAATTCATCACATTTGTAAAATTTAACTTTTTGAACACCATTTGAATCATAAACTGTTTGTACTGTATTATAACCACCAATGGTAGAATCTTGAATAACTTTAACCATATCTGCCAAGTTATTCACTTCAGAATGTTGAAGTTTTAATTTAATAAGCCCAAAAAATCCATCCAGAGAGAATTTCATATGACCAGCCACTATGAACGAGTATACAATTTGTTTATGCAAACCATTTAGAACATGCCACATTAAATATTTTATCATCGTATTATTTTTATTTTGACCTGGGCAGTTGTTGGCATGAATAACAATATACTTTTCTCCAAGGCCGTGATTCTCAAAGTAATGGTAAATCATTGAAATAACAGCATTTGCGCCCTTTCCAACATTCTCATTTTCTTTAATTAAATAATTTTTCTAAAATATGAACTTATTTATTAAAATAGGTTTTTAATAAACTGATTAAAATAATAACTACCTGTCATGGAAAAGCATCCTCACATATCCCGAAGATTAAAACTTTAAATAATAACTAAAATAAACGGACTTCTCAAAAAAAAAAAACAAAATAAAATAAATAAATAGAATTCAAGTACGGTCTTTAAGATTATTATCTTGCTCTATAAAAAAATTTTGTCGACAATGTTATAAATATTTTTTAAAGTTATTCTGTTTTTGTTTTTTTTGTTCAAAAAATGTTCAAAATAGTGTCAATTTTCTGAACACATAATGATTTTGTGCAATGTTTATATCTAATATTGTCAACCCAAAGTTATTTTTTTTACACAATATAAAATTGTATGTATGTATGTACATACAATATCGTACTGGTATTTAGAAAATAGACTCTGTTGCAACATTTTTTTGGACAATGCCTATAATAACTGTACAATCTTTTTTATAGGATTAGCAATTTATTGATATTCTAACAATTTAACTTCTACAGTTCATATTTTGACAACTTTATAGTTTTAATAATCTAATTCAATATTTTACTCTTTTTTTACCATAAATGGCAGATAAAAGACCAGTATCTTACATTCCACCAAATTTAAAACCTGCAATAGACCCCACAGTTGAGAGTTTGTATTATTAATAAGAAAATTTTAAAAAGCATTTATATTTTTTATTTCTAACAGGCAGGTTAGATATTAGAAAAAAACTATATTTTATTATTGGAAATTCTATAATACACATCTGGGTATAGTATATAGTAGATCTGATATCGTACGTAAAGGATCTTATATTCAACCATTTATGGTAATTTTGAAACATCCAATATATATTTTATAATCACAATTACCTCTTGTTGTGAAGAAAATAGAAGATGAACAGCTTCAGCAAAGTCCCATGAAATATGATTTTCAAAATCCAAAGAAATTGGTATTCCTGAACATAAGAGCGTAGATGGATTATTAAAAAAATTTAATTGTTGTTTCATATTGAGTATACATTGTCTAAAATTTTGATTGGTATAAAATAATCAAAAAAAAGCTTATTATTACAGAAAACATTAGATTCATTAAAAGATTACTCAGATTGCCTAGGTAAATTATTATATTTTTAAGTATATTCTCTTATCTGTAATATTCTTGTTCTTGATATGCCAAAGTAATATGATCGTTCTATTGTTAAACATTTTGATCTCATTTATTTTCTGTCCAGAATTGAACATGAAATCACATATTTTTACAAAGTGTACATAGATCATTTCAAGGTGATAAAAAGTGAATTTCTGGTACATATTTTTTCCAAATTCGTACAAAAGATGATTGACTAATATTAAAATCAGAAGTTTTGTCTAAACTTGATTGATAAATACAATACAATCCAATATAACTTTCACTTGCAAGAAGATATGTAATGATCATAGTATCTTCACAAAAGTGGCAACTTAATAATTATGCATATATTATATTATTAATTAAATATATACAAGCCTTTTTATTCACAGAAAAAAATTAATATATCAAATATTTATCATATGACATGTTGTTACTGTATACCAATTTTGATCATATTTGTATTTGTTTAAAAACAAATATATAGTACTATTATATTAGTCTTTTTAAAACCACATTACTTATTTAATACGATCAAATACATATGATAGTAATAACTGCTGAACAATAATAGCATTATCATATGAAGACAAAAAATCGACATTATAGTGAATAAATCAAATATCTGCAAGGTTCATTATACCAATATTGTAATTTTTTTTTTATCCACTATACAATGTTTCTGGGTTAACTTTCTGAAGTTCATTTTTTTCTAAAATACCATTTCACCTAATCCACTTTACTAACAGGACCTATGTTATTTTATTGACAATAAATTCATTGACAAGTTTACTTTATTTCATCGACAAGCTTTTTTAAAATTGTACTAACTCAACTCTAATTCTAAACCTGAACCTAATAACACATTATGGCACATTTGTGGAATTGAGAATATTAAGAGATATAGTGGGTTGAATAGTGGGAAGATGAGTTAGACATTAGATTTAAGGTGTAGTATATTATAATTTAAATCAGTACATATTTCACAATTATTATAGCTCTAATTCATATTAATATGTATACATAAAGTCAAATTAAATTGATTCATGATTAGTAGTCAAATTTATTCAAATTTTAGGATAGTTTATAAATGTGCTGTAATGAATAACTAGAATTACTTTGTCAGTAAAATGACTACCAATAAAATCAGGAAGTAAGCAACAATGCTATATAATAACTTATGAAAATATCAATTTACCCAGTAATGGCAACCCATGGCAATTAGCATAATTAATAATAAATATAAGAACATTTAAAATAGTTGCAAATGACAAAGCATGATAAGACTTCCTTCCTGATAGTGCATGTATAATTGGTTTAATACCGTTATCTCGGTAATAACTATGAATATGTCTTCACTTCTTATTTGACAACGAATATATAGCTTGAAAAGCTTTCTTGCAAATTTCACTATCACTGAAAACATATTTAACGGTTAAATATTGTTTTTCTTTACCATCTAAAGTATCTTTTGAATGGGTCATTGTATAAAGCATTCCTAAAAGAAACATATTATACTCAGTTTTTGATAATTTTTGAATACTGCCAAATGTTTGAAAGGCAAATTCATGATTAATTTTAGTTAATCATTTTTTAGTTTTACAACAAACTAATGTACGAAGTTTTAAAAAAAAGGCATCCTTCTCTTGCTGATTTAGAAAAGTCATTAATCTTTCATTAACTTCTTGTTTTTCATTATTTTCTTTAATAGTATGTTGAGCAAATATTCTCTAAAATTTTTCAATTTGTAACAGTGTAAGAATTTGATTATCAGATTGCTGTATTTCTTCAGTATTCTGTTTTTCTTCATTATCTTGTATTCCTTTATTATCTTGTATTTTTTTGTTATTTCGTTGTATATTTCTAAATTCTATATTTTCAGAAAAAAATTCTTTTGTATCCAAAGTTTCTTTTAATTCTAATTCATAATTGTTACTTGTTTGATAAGATGTTTTGAGCTGATTAAATTCTTTTACTAACAAATATATTTCTGAATGTGTTTCTAAAAAAATGAAGAAAACTAGTGTATGTGTCAAATCCATTTTTTTTTTTTTGATAAAATCAAACACGAAATGAAATATTTTATAACTATGTATACAACTGATTAGACAATTACTAAACAATGGACAACATTAAATTACACTCTCATTTCACTTATGTAAAGCATGCATAAAATATTCTATCATGTATTAAAGTTCCTAAATTTTTCTTTGTTTTCAACAACACGGGCTCTCCAAAAATATATAGCCCTAAGTCTAAACACAACCATTTCAGATAACTGTGCAATTGTTACTGCTATTCAGATAAAAAATTACCAGGTATATGTCAAGTTTCATTTATGGTAATAAATGCTACATATGACATAAAAATAATTGTCATTGCTATTGTTCCAAATAAAAAATTATCATGTAGTAGAAACAGTCTCTTGGTTCTATTTATGAAATATAATAAACTTTAAATTAGGTTATTGCCAAAGCTATGGTGTTGAGTTTCATTTATAGTAATAAATGCCTATTACTACATGCATAAATAGATACGTAAAAAAAAACTCTGGACATATTTACTATAATAACAAAACATGATAACACAATAAGGATTATTAAGTATTGCAGATACACAATCTGAGAATAAACAGATAGAAATTAGAGAATTAATATTTGACTATAGTATTTAATTAAAATTATTACATACAACTTCAGTCAATTATATTCTATCTAATAAATTAATGCTTTATTTTCATCCATAATTCCAATTCCATAACTAATCCAAAATATTCTGATCGATCATTCATACTTATGGATTTTAATAGTCAATGAATATCTTTTAACTTCAGTTACATGTTCATAACAATAGTCAAGCCAGAGTATTTATTCAGACTATTCATATCTATAATGAATAATGAAGTCTTAATTTTAATAATAGTGATCAAGCAAAAATAATACTGTACAATTATTCGTACCTGAATTATTTCATCTTTTTAATTCCAATTCAAATAATGATGAAGCCAGAGTACTGTCATTATATTCACATAATTTGATAATGAATGAGTGCTTCTTAATCCCACTTCTATATTCACAGGCCAAATTATTCTGTCTAAACCATCTATATTATCATGAATTAATTAGCATTTTAGCATTAGATCAAAAAAATTGAAAATTTGAAAATATTGAATATGTTGTACGTTGGAACAGAACTATTGTGGATTTAGAATCTACTTAAGTTGGAACATAATTCCAAATGTAGCCCAAGTTAATATAAAATTTAAAAGCAACTTAAGTTGTTTTTAAATTTGATAAGTAATAATTAATAAAAATTAATAGCAACTTAAATTGATTTTAAACTGATACTGCAATCAATTTATTGATATAATGATAGTTAAGTTTTTTACTACTTTCTTTTTCTTATTTTACTTTTTTACTTTTTGCAAAACTCTACCCATTGACTGAATCTCAAGATTACCCATTTTATTTCATAATGCATTCGAAGAATTTCTTTCTAAATATCTTAGCAACAAACTGGCTAATAACCAATGTAAAACTTTATAACACATGAAGACTTTGATTTTTGTATTAAAGTTTTACAAGATCCAGCAAATACAGTCGACTCAAGATATAACAAGCCTTTCTATAATGAACTGAACATTTTGGAATTTCACAATAATTTAGTACAAATTGTCTATGGGTAAATCAATAGGTTTTTAAAAAAACATAGTGATTTTCTATAACAGACTTTTTTTTCTTCTAGAATCTTTAATATGTTATAGAAAGAGTGAACTATATCTTTTCAATACTTATAACCATTTAGGAGTGTCTATTATGCAATCCTCTTCACAAGTAAATACAATTACAAAAAATGCATGTGACAAAAACTATTATAAAAAAATAAATATACATATCCTGTAGGAGTAGTTGCCATCCTATTATTCATGGATGCAAAACTTTGTAATGCTTTTAAATTTAATTAATTTGCAATCAGCTATGCATAAGTAAGTGTGATTTAAATTCAAAAACAACATACTTGACAAAATAATTTGGAATACACTTAATTTTATTGTAAGTTGAATTCTTTAACAACTTGGGTGCATTTAAAAATTCTATTACAATCTATGTTTATTTGAAAACAACCTAGGTGATTCTAAATCTACAATAATTCTATTACATATGACAAATATACTGATATCGATATCTAACGCTAATGATATTCAGTAATTTTTAACTTTAATATTATTAAGGTTAGGGATTATAAAATAAAATTTTTATTTTTAGAATTTTGTGTGAATTTTTAACGTTAAAACACTATCACTATTAATTTTAATAAAATCAAGAATACCTATTTTCTTAGCAGATAGTCTTAAATCGAAGAAAACTTTGAAAAGATATGACTTGCATTTGTATTATTAAATCCGTGGTTTTGATTAGTTGATCAAAACGCTGATAAATTCCAAAATGATCTTGTAATCTACATCGATTTACATTAAAAAAATTTATCTGATCAAACCAGTTTTTTGCGCTATTTTGCCTATAACATAAAATTTTATTAAGATAATAACCTTTCTACTTTAAGTAAAAAATGTTCCTGAGTTAATTTTAAATTAGTAATGCTCAAAAAAAAATTTTACAAGAATTTATAATTTGGTCCCTTTTCTCAGATCACAGCCTATATCATTAAACTACTATGCCTTTATAAAGTTCACCCCAACCCTGATACTGACTTCACAACATATTCTTACTACTTTGGTATTTAATTCAAGTTTTATCAAGCTGCCATTCTAGATAGCCTAGAAAGATATATCAAAACTATACATCTTTGGTTTATATATTTGCTGATATGTACTCTTTTTTTCTGGAATCTAGAAATTCTGATAGCCTGGTTTGTTTATTCAGTTCTTTCTCAAAGACCAGCATATTTGCTTAGTTTTACAAGTTCTAGCTTTATTTTATAAGTTTTGTCTTTACAGTAATACTGTTGAAAGTTTGAGTTATTTTTCTACTTGGGTCTTTCAAGTAGTTTTCATTTTTTTTTTTTGGTTCTATGAGTTACATGACCACAGGGACTTATTGTAGATTTGCACTGCTTAGTATCAGTTTGTATTTCTTCATATAACTACAGACCTTGTTTTAAAGAACAATGTCATATGACCTATCAGTCATGCTAATGCAATATAGATAATAGGTATTTTATTCTAACCAATTATGAAAGACAGTTAACTATAATATAGTGAGAATTTTCAAATTTTCTGTTGATACTAGGATTTGTATTCTGGACTTGCCACTTAGAAGTTGACAACCTGACCACTTCACCTGGTTACTATACTTCTTTAATTTTGTTATTTATAATAATATAATTACATTTATATTATAAATTTTAATGATAATAACTAATTTACTTAAAGCAAATAAGATGGCTAATACTTATTAGCCATCTAAATTGAATAGGTTTTGTTACTCTTGTTTAATGTTAAGAGATAACTTAAATAATATAAAATTAATTACTATATTATTTAAAACACTTTATAATATAAAGAAAACAATTGATAATAGTGATGAGCATTATTATTTAATTTATTCTGAAATAAACATATTTTGAAATATAAGATATAATATTTTGTATTATTAAATTAATATATATATATAAATATATTATATAAGCATGATTATATAAATTATTTATTAAGTTTATATAATATAAATTGTAAAATTTTAAGAAGTTTAATATAAGAGTGTGATGACTTAGTAAAGTAAATAAGTTGTCAACCCTTCAAGTAGTAGGTTGGGAGTGCAAAACCTACTGATGGCAAAAATTTAAAAAACTACCTATGTATATTAGTACTATGAGCATCTGTGCAATGTTTGAGTTACTCAGAGAAATGCAAACCGGCATCAGATGGTGCAAACTTAAGATAAGTCCTTGTGTCTAGTACTACGGCAATGGCAATCTGTCGATTAGTTGGGATCAGTATCTGTAACATGGTCACACCAGATAACTGGCAGGTCATAGGGCATCTGTGCAATGTTAAAGTTATACAGAAGAATGCAAACTGGAATTAAATAGTGCAAACACAAGATAAGTCCTCATGGCCGTGTAAATCCATGAACTGAAAAAACTGGAGCCCACTTGAAAAGACCTGAGTAAAGAGGTAGTACAGATTTTCAACAGTACTACTATAAAGGCTAGACCTAAGAAATGGATACCAATGTGGAAAAAATTAGGCAGGCAAAAACCTCAGGTAAGGAATACCATCAACTAGGCCATTAAAAGTCTTGAACCAGAGGAAAAGAACCTTGGAGGGCAGACTCTAAGGTGCTAAGAACAGGTCACAGTCCTACCGAGCTATCTGGATTGGGAGTCTGATTCAGAAGCAAGGTATACTATAAGTATTAAGATATGCTATAAAGTTAGTACTGGAGTTTGGGTAAACTTTACAAGGGTAAGCCCTGTTAGCAAAGATTAAATATAAGTAGTTAGTTAGCAGAGAGGCCTCCTGGAGCCTTATAGTTAGGTAACGTATTCTGAAATATATAATGGCTTGACAAACATACAGACATGAAAGTCAAAGTTAGGTTAGATGACATCTAACTAGGTATACAGAAGCTTAATATGCTATCTGCTAGTGTAGTATAGAGGTAACCTTGTATAAGTTATGTAATTATAATTGAATTCACAATAAAGGCAGTAGCTGCCAATAACTAATAGCCTTAGCAAAAGCAAAAAAAAAAATAAAAAAAAAAGTTTAATATATATAAAAGTATTGTTCCTAATCAAATGCATATCTTAAACCTTGGTCTTTTTAAGTATATGCTAAAATATTCTAAAATATTTTTGTATAATAATGTAATAGTCATATGTTTCAAATCTTTAAATAATAATTAATATTAATTCTTAGATATCATGGCCTTAAAATAATAAAAAATATGTCAGATATGATATATTTAATGACAGATGAATTGTGAAATTTAATGAAAATAGTAATTTTTGCATTTGATAATTTATACAATAAATATAAAAAGCATGACATTAGTAATTATTAGTTATAATAAGTATA